GTCTGCATCTGAAGGAGTGAGGTTCTTACCCACGAAAGCGTATGCTCCCAATACTTCTGTTAGTCTTAAAGGTGCCACAGTACCCTCTGTTTCTTTTTACAGTTTCAGACTAACACGGCTACCCCTCTGATATTTATTAAGCTATTATCATTGCAGTAAGTAATATGCTTTCTCACCATGCATGGACATTGAGACCACTGAAATTGAAATTTAATGCAGAATGCAGCAGCCCATTTATTAAAAAGGGTTTCTTCTTGGGAACACACAACACCAGTGCTCAGTGATCTCCATTGGCTGCCAATAAGTTTTTTGGTGTATTTCATGGTATTGACCTTAATCTATGAAGTTCTAAATGACCTGGTATCTGAAAGACCTCCATTCTCCCTCTCCAGTACTGCCACAGTTGTGATCAGTAGAAGAGTGCAAAGTGCCTCTCTTGTAAAAATGAAGATTGCTGGTAGGGTATTTTCCATGAAGGGTTTTCTGCTTTGAAATGCGCTCCCTCTCCCCACCCGTTGGTCCACCTGTGCCTAGATCAGTTTAACTGGGAAGCATGCTGCAAAAAATCTTTCTCCCAGACATTTGGGGAGGGGGCCAAGGCTTAGAGGAGGGTTATTATATTTGCTATGGTGGAGTGTATGTTTTAATTATCGTTCTAATATGCTAGTGAATATTTAAATATTCTTTGACTTTCTAAAAGAAAAACTAGCTTTTTATATTTGCTGCATTATTAGCCATTACTGATTTGTGCTACTATTGACTAAATCGAGGTCGGCAACCTTTCAGAAGTGGTGTGCCGAGTCTTCATTTATTCACTCTGATTTAAGGTTTCGCGTGCCAGTAATACATTTTAATGTTTTTAGAAGGTCCCTTTCTATAAGTCTATAATATATAACTAAATTACTGTTATATGTAAAGTAAATAAGGTTTTTAAAATGTTTAAGAAGTTTCATTTAAAATTAAAATGCAGAGCCCCCCTGAACGGCGGCTAGGACCCAGGCAGTGTGAATGCCACTGAAAATCAGTTCGCATGCCGTCTTTGGCATGCGTGCCATAAGTTGCCTACCCCTGGACTAAATGATTTTATTGGATCACTAGCTGTAAACTCCTGTGCCTCCTTTTGCATTTATTTTGCACAGTTCCTGAATCTGAAACCCAGTGAGATTATGGAATAAGGAATAAATCTACAGCAATGGGGTGGAGGGGGGAGAGGGGGTTTCCTATGTTACCTGGTGAAGAGGGTGACAAATTCCAGTGCTGCTTCTCCCTAAGCATACCCTGATTGCTCTAAAAGTGGATACCGAGCATGTTACATGCAGTTCAAGAGAGCCAAGCCTACTCCTTGCAATGGCCTACCTTCATTATGAAGGCTTATATCATTGCTTATATAATGGTTGCCGTTAAAATGTCAAAATTTACCAAGCCACCACACCTTCCCTTTCCTTAGAAAACTATTGTATGGTAGTTATTGGCATATGTTGAGAGGAAGGATTCCCCCAATGGTAGGACTCAGAACACCTAGCTCTGCTACAGACTTCCTGTATGACTGGGCAAATCATTTAGTCTCTCTGTGACTCAGTTCCCCATCTGTAAAATGGGAATAATAGCACTTCCCTATGTCACAGGAGTGTTGATAAATACATTAAAGATTGTGAGGCGCTCAGATACCACAATAATGACTATATAAATACCTAGACAGAAATGTTACCTTTTAAATATTTAATGCAGCCATTATGTTGGGTATTGTATAGGGCAGGGGTCGGCAACCTTTCAGAAGTGGTGTGTCGAGTCTTCATTTATTCACCCTAATTTAAGGTTTCTCGTGCCAGTAATACAATTCAACGTTTTTAAAAGGTCTCTTTCTATAAGTCTGTAATATATAACTAAACTATTGTTACATGTAAAGTAAATAATGTTTTTAAAATGTTTAAGCAGCTTCATTTAAAATTAAATTAAAATGCAGAGCCCCCCCCAGACCGGTGGCCAGGACCCAGGCAGTGTGAGTGCCACTGAAAAATCAGCTTGCGTGCTGCCTTTGGCACGTGTGCCATAGGTTGCCTACCCCTGGTATAGGGTGACCAGATGTCCCAATTTTATAGAGACAGTCCCGATTTTTGGGTCTTTCTTATATAGGCTCCTATTACCCCCCCATCCCCTGTCCCGATTTTTCACAGTTGCTGTCTGGTCACCCTAGTATTGTACAAAACACAAAAACAAAGACCATTCCTTCTCCAAAGTTTTTATAATAGAGCTACAACAATAACAAGGTGTAGTGGGGGGGAAAAGAGGAGGGAACTTATTTGGAACTTTGTTTTTAAGTGCTTGTGGATATCATGAAAAAAGTAGTTTTGAGGAGGCATTTAAATAGGGAGGATGGTGGCTTGACAAAGCAGAACTAAGAAGTCATTGCATTCCAAAGAGAAAGCATGGAAAAATGTGCAAAGACACGAGTGGGATAAGGAAATAAATTGGTTTGGAGGCTGGCTTTGTTCCTTGCTGCCGGAAAGGAAAATGTTGTTGTGCTTGCTAAATAACCAAACCAAAGTAGTAGGTTGGTGATTGTGCGGCAGTGAATAAACTAGAGACTTGGAAGATAACCCTGTAAGGGTAAGGAAGCATCAGCAGCTCTGGGCTATGGAACCCTTATCATAGAAGAAACATTTGGAAATTTTAAGATGTAAAACTTTGAATCTTTATCAGTATTGAATATCTCAGTCCAGACACTATTTGAAATCAGACTTATGTCCTGTGGTTTAAGGAA